CATTGTTTTAGCCTAATATAGGCCTATTGTAAAAAAAAAGAAAAAAAATTATTCTGAAAGTGTGGCGGTAGGGCTGCAGTAGAAACGTATGAAGTTGGCCAACGGTAGAAATTTACCCTCTACCGTCATATCGTCGTTACGTCATCGGACCTGTGTCAAGAGGGCTGCGAGTGCAGAGACAACTGAGCAGGAGTTTGAAATATAATGAAGAAATTCTAGCTTTTTAAAACGCGTATAGAGAGGATAAATCCTCAAACTCTCCCGCTGTAGAAAAGTTATGTCGTGTCGCGGGATCATAATCTCTTCCGCCCTCTCCTCTCGCTGAACGTCGCGAAGAGCAAAGCTTTAACAACTGTAGTTTTTCACATCCAATTTTCAGAGAAAAAAATTGTTTTTTAAAGTATTGTTACTCACAGAGATGATTAAAAAAGACGTTGACATTCGTTCAGTCATAAATCCATCTTGCCAATGTAAAGTCGGCTTCTGCTCTGATGATGAAGATGAGCACGCAGCAGCTGATAGCAGGCGGAAGCTCATTGTTTGGCAGGCAGATATTAAAGGAAAAATGCTGGGTTTGATTTAAGATTACAGTTCTCTGCAAAAAAAAAAAAATCTAAAAATTACATTATCTTTACTTTTTATGATAATTTTCTACCACGATATATACCGTTACTGTGAAGGGGTACAGTTTATACCGTGATATGAGTTTGAGGTCATACCGCCCAGCCCTATGTGGCGGCTATGATATTTGCCGTGGTGGTGCGCCATGATCAATTACATGTAGGGGAAAACCTGCTTGCTCTAAATATGGAGTGCAAATATAAAAACATATTGGTTGGCCAGGGGATTGAATTGAATGTGAAGATTTTCTGAATTGATACTGAATTAGAAAAAATATATATTTTAATGCATTTCTGAATTGAATTTTTACCCACCCCTAGTCTTCAATATAATCATTTTCATTTGTATTTCTGTGAACTACTTGTACAATTTTTGACTTGAAAACGGCATAAAATGTACACTACCGTTCTTTACTCTAGTCTGTATAAATTTTAAATCCATGTCTGATCTCTAATTAAAATCAGGTAAATTGTTGCAACTAAATTTCTAAAAGTAGATTACGCTAATRAAATCTGCTTAATTTAGCTCAAATTGCATGAGTGTCTGAGCTTAAATGCTGCATGTTGYACCAACTACAAAAATATATGACACTACATAAACTATTCAAATAAATAAATATTAAACTTATCTCATCAACACAGTGGAAACTTGATTGCATTTTTTTGTCTTCATTTGCAGTGAACCCCTGAAGCCAAGTGTCCTTAAGGGAGCCTATCGAAGTGTGACAGTTACACTGTGTTCCTGGTTTCCATCCCATCATTACAGACACCAGAACATATCCAGCCAGTATTCACCAAGGACCTTGATTAAAAATGCCAAAARAAGTAAATAAAATTCCTTCCAGTTTTATAACAGCAAGACTGGAAAATGTCTGTCTTCCAGGACTTTTCAGAGCGACGACAGCTGAACCAGCGGAAGGATGAAGATGGATGTTAGTGATGCCTGTTACCATGACCGAGCACTTTTTATTATCACATATCTGCTCATAGATTATTCATAATTTCTCAAAAATTAAGCTTGTTTTACATTTTCAGTGTTTTTTTAACTCTTAGCTGTGAGATTCTCTGTCACAATTTCAAATGTCGAAATATTGCTTCCCTTAATTTATTTCATAGCAGCACAGTCAGGTATTATGTTAGCCTTAAAAAACAAAAGATATGTTTTGCAGGGTAAAATCAAACAGATATATATCAGATTTAAGTAATAATGCTCAGTAAATAACATATTTGCTTACTTTGTCTTCTCTTCAACAAATGTAAATGTTTAACGTTACCACTCTGATCCTGCAGCCTACAGCAGCTCAAAGTTAGTGGTTTGTAAACTGTGGGTTATACTGAACTTGGCAGAGTTGTTTCAAAATTACAGCTCTGCAGGGTTTTTGTTGGCTCTAAAGTAAGCGTGCTTTGATTGAGGAGCATTTTTTTTATGTTAAACTATTTAAAGATTTTTAAGTTAACAAAATGTTATTAGTATTCATAAAGTTTATTCATACAGAAAGTTTTAAAGTAATTTTTAATACAACTTTTATATTTTACGTCTAAAAGCAACATGTCTGCAGTGCCATCGTGTGTTTTGTRTGTGTAAGTGCAATTTGCAAAACAGGTTTTAAAAAGGAAAAAAGTAAATGTTTGTACTTTGTGACAGTATTCATTTTATGTCATCTTGCTACGACTGCAATTCTATTTATTTGTCTCTGCTCAGACTACAGGGCTCATTATCAGTTTTGTTAAAATAGGGGAGCTTGAATTTAGATGTCTGGTTGCAATTTAACTGTGYTTAAACTAGCAAAGTATGTGTTGGCTCCCGTTACTACAGCCAGTTAATGCTGGCGAAGAAATAAATCTAACTTCCACACGTCAAATGTGTGTATTTGTTTATTTACTGGTCTTTTTAAATTTTCACCAACCTGAAACATTTGTTTTTCCATTTAGATAAATAATTTGATGTACTTATGACATTGCTTGCTACTTTTAAAACCATTTAAATTATAGCAAATCTATTTTTAAATTTTGCAAAACTAAATAAGGGCCTACATTTGTGTGGTTGATTCAAATTATACTAGAGCTTTTTGATTTTGTGAATATTTTAAGGTAATTTTAGTTCGTTAAATCCACACTTATGACACTGCTTGCTACTTTTAAAACCATTTAAATTATAGCAAATCTATTTTTAAATTTTGCAAAACTAAATAAGGGCCTACATTTGTGTGGTTGATTCAAATTATACTAGAGCTTTTTGATTTTGTGAATATTTTAAGGTAATTTTAGTTCGTTAAATCCACCTTTATGTAACTGATCCATTGACATGTAGCTAATATTTTGGTCTTTAATTAAGAGAGAGAGTTGTTTTTTAGTGGAAATATCTATCAAATAGAAAAAAAAAAGCGTCGCGACTTTATCGGAGCTAGATGACGTACAACCAGCACCGACGTGATGYCGTCACGGGGCGCGTCCAAATCAACTCAACCGAGGGGACGCCAGAATGGGAGGTTTGTGTCGATTTTTACCGAAAATACAAAGTAACTCTCCGTTTACTTCAAATGAATCATTTTAGATTGTGTATAAACCCCTCTATTAATAATGATTTTAACATTACCTCCGCTGGAACATCCTGAAAGCTTTCCTCGCCTTGTCAAAGACGGTGAAATGTCATTCAAGTCATTATTAAGGTTCCCTGAAAAGTTCTCCATCGGAAAGTTTGACAGGAGAAAGAAGCGCCTTACTAAAAACTATTTCCTAGTAATTTTAGTTTATATATAGATTTTAGACTAACCATAACGCTCATGCCTGTTTCGCGTTTCTATTTAAAGTAATAACAACGGAGCCTGTTCTGTGCAGTCCTCATAGTTGCTGCACATTTTTCACTTTTTTGTTCTTGAACTCGGACAGATAGTTTCCACGAGCAGCTGACTGAGGACAGCTCCTTCCTGAAAGCTGAGCAGAGACTGGACACGGAGCTGGTGGACAAACTCATCCTACAGCTCAACAGAATCCACCCTCAGATCCTCACAGACAAAGAGGCCACCAAGGTGGGTCCTGCTCAGGCACCCAGCTGGACTTGAAGGTGGCCTGTCTGCAGCCAGGTGTGCAGCCAGYGGACAAGCTGGTTTTCAGCAGAAATTTACAGCAGCAGTTTTGCAAAGGCTCTCAATGACGGCTGGTCACTCTGCTTCAGATTGTTAATGTCAGACAGTCAGCAGATTTGTAAAGTAATATTACCAAAACAAGTACCTTCAGGCATGATTTCTCACTTAGTGTATTGGGTTTTTATTTCATCTTTGCACATGGAATTATTTCAGCATTATTACCTATTTGGCTTCAAGTCCTGGGGTCAGATGACAGTAAACAAAATCCAAAAAGAAAAAAAAAAACACTTTGACATAAATAGTGTTTTTTAACAGATACAAAGGCGATATCAGACAAACCTGCAAATCACAGACTTATTATCACGTGTTAACTTTCTGATGTTTGTACAGTTCAGAAATTTGGACGTACCGACGAGCGTCCGCCTCGGCGAGCTCCTGACCCACCTGCAGGGGAAAGGTGAGGAAGCCTGCAGGGAATTTTACCGAGCTCTTCATCTTCATGTGGAGGAGGTGTACTACAGCCTGCCCACACGGCTCCGCCTCAGAAGTAAGCACCAAACAACAACAACAAAACAACAACAATTTCATCTCATTCAAAAGTTGATTATTTCTTAGTGTCTTTCAGAAACAAAGTTTTGCATGTATTATTTATTGGATTTTAATACATATTTTTTTAATCCTTTGTCTCAGATGCCTTGGATCCACTCATGCTATCTCATGCTTATAAGCAGAAATATGATTTAAATGAAAGAGGTGAGTAATGTGACAGTAAATTATCTCACTGACAGAGGCATGAACTTTTTTTTTTGGTCTGCTTATGGTGCATTTTTAACACAGGGTTTCACGTCGTGTCAAAAATAGGTTTCATTGGTTTAGAGTCCTCTGAGGTTTTTCAGAAAACCATCTAGGTATTTTAAATATTTCTTGAGGTTTGAAAGTATTTTAAAGTGTGTTTATTTGAATTAAGTATCTAAAACAGTAGAATCAAACATTGTTTTGTCAGTATGACAAAAAGTAAGCAGTCTAAAACTGCAAGTGTTGTAGTACTGTATATTGCTTTAACAGAAGCTGAATCTAAATACTGACCTTAATATTTCTGCACAAATTCCAGGCCCCTTCTTCTTCCTGGGCTGTTTCAGCTTGGCCCTGGGAATGGCTTTTCTTTATTACTACAGCGGTAAAAAGTTGTTCAATTTCTTCTAACAACATGTTTAAATACTTGTATATGTTTTTACATTATTGGCTTATATAATTTAAAAACCTGATTTCTTTGTATTGGTCATTGTTTTGTTTTTTTCCTTTTAGAATCTAAAGTGTCTGGAGGCAGCCGGGCCCTTGGGATGGCAGCTCTTGGCTTGAAAAAAAAAGCTCAGGAGGTTCTTGTTTGGTACTCGGAAGAAGGCCTCATGAAGTAATGGGTGACTCCTTCACAGTTGGTGCTTCAGAATTACTGATACTGTTAAGGCATTCTGTATCTTCTCAAGTACTCACAATAGATTTTGCTCATAGTGTAAAATATGCACAGTGCAGCTTTTATTTTGCATTTAGCTTGAAATGAGAGAGTCACAATTTTGGCACTTGTGCTCATTTATTTTATTCTCATGTTTTGTTGAACGGGTTAACGGGAGAAAATAGTTTTGAGGCAGGAGTAAGTTTTGCACAACCTCTAACTGTGTAAATATTTGTATACAAAAACATTTAGTAAGAAAGCTCTATTTGTGTTGTATTGGGTAAATAAGCCAAGTGTCTTGAACACCCAAATGAGGGGAAGAAAACAAAGCAGTCACAATAAGTCCCAAAATAATCAGTGCATTTATCTGTTGTTGCTAGAATTATTTTTATTTAATGTGTTGTGCTAACACTAATTAATATTGTTTATATAAGACACTGAAAATAAAGTTATGAAGCTCAGCTGTATATTTTAAAGCCTGGACCTSCAGGTTATAAACCTGATTTTGTACAATGAGCACCATCTTCTGGACAAAAGACAAACTATATAAATATTTTTAAGCGTTTTAATAAATTCTGCAGCTCATATTTAAAGGAGGAACAAAGGAAAGTAAAACTCAGATTAATTATCAGTACAAACCTAAACGATATTTTGTGTGAAAAGCTAAATTTAAACGTTTTGAGTGGTTTTAGATATCACGTGATACTTTTTAACTAATGAAATGCCGTTTTCGGGTCGCAGTGCATTGTGGGTGTGGATGTTTACAAGTAAAAAAGTACAAATAATTTAATAAAAGGTGAAATAACATACGTTTCGGGTGAGCCGACGAACTTAAACTAAAATAAACAAAATTACTATTTTTTTTAAATCGTAAATAATGTATAATCTGAACCAGGACTGAGACCGATCGGCGTATTTGGGTCTTTATATACCGGATATCTGGGCAGTCGGTGTGTGTTGTATGAAAGGAGAGAAGGTTAGCACTCCCCTTGACAAGGATGGAATTGGTCCCTGAGGCCAGCAACACACATACGGTTAAGGCACTGCCACCTACTTCYTGGCATCTCTAACCAAATTTTTTAAATACCTAAAACCTTTCTTGAAGACGCCTTCTCTGACGTTGTGAGTGTCTCAAACCATGCTTCCTGTTTTCAGCGTGTTGCTAAAAAAAAAAAAAAAAAAAAAAAAAAAAACGGAAACATGCCTCCTCATGTTTCCTTGCCTTTGTTTCCTCTTGGCAGGATGGAACATTTTTATTTTTCCTGCTGGCCTGAATTCACTTGTGATAGTAAAACTCACAGGATTTCTGGAGTATATATACTTACATCTGAGGTACAGAAGCCTGTTTTTTTTTTTTTAACATAGATTGTATATTTTTATGCCAATTAGTGATAAACATTGTATTCTGAACTAGATATAAGCTGTAGCTTTTGGCTAAAACCAAATGTGCCTCTTAAAAAAAGATTTTGCGACATCTATTTTACTTAAAGTTTGTAAGTAAATAATTTGCATTGAATTAAATTTGGATAATATTTAAGTAGTTTGTAAACAACTTTATAGAGTGGATGGCTTCAAAATGAAGTGCAATTTTTAAGTTACACAACGCTTTTATTTTCTTGTTCCTGTCTCTTTTTTATTATTATATTCTAAAGGTGGAATGATGAATTTTTGTTTTTGGTAATACAACAATTGGGTTTGTCATGCTTTGTTGTGAGCTTTGTTCTTTAGAAATATCCTACAAGTGCCAAGTTCTTTAGTTTTTGAAAATTAAAATAAAAAACATGGGTGACAATTTGGTTTCATAGTTTTATTTAAAAATATCACTAACGGTGACTGTCCAAGAGTGTATAATTAAAGCTAAGAGCTCTTCTCTTACAAAAAGTGAATACACAAACAGATAATACAGACAGACATTTAGTAATATACATAAAAATCAATTTAAATATTGCATGTTGCATAGCTATTAAAAAAACAAGGTCCACTTCATTTAATGAATATTTAAAGCACTGTAAACATACATTAACTCCACTGTAAAGCTGCTGTACAAAGTAAAGCATCATGCAGGAGAGGAAGACTTCATGTGGAGTACGTTCTGTTACAAAATATATGAACTAACAAAAAACTTTCAAAATAACAGCAGAAAGTTTCTTTTCAGGAAGCGGTCACAGTGCTTTTTTTAAAAAAAAAATATTTAAACAGTAGGGTCTTCCTGATTTTTGTTTCATAAAGGCCATTTTTTGTTTGCATCAGTAACCTGAGCATGACGAGAGGTAAAAACAAAACAAAAAAACACACAAAAAAAAAAAAACTGTTGAGGAAATAAAAACAAAACACCTTTTCAGGTCCATGGTGAGGAGGACCATAAATAACACGACCATCCTGTTTGGTAAATAAGTCTGGCTGATAACTGTGGCAGTAGACCAGCATCACATCAAGAAGGAGCCGAGGGTCCCGGGTRAGGCCGCTGTACGCCGAAGGCTGTGATGAAGACGTTGACTACAACGATGACGAAGACAAAAGCTGTGGCCATGTTCTCCAGGATGTTCAGCTTGTAGTGTGTGCTTTCATCGTTTAGATTCCACTTCACTGGGAAAGAAACAAAAGCAGTCCTTAATATGTTCAGAACCAGATGTAGTGACATACTTCCCCCACAAGAGGGCAGCAAGGAGTTTCCTCATATTTTAGTTAACGTTTCCTGAAGGTTTTATGGAAAAAAAAAAATAAAAAGATATTAGTGTCTTATAACTCTGCCACTTAGTGAATATTTATCTTCCTGATCCGGTGAGAAATCACGTGGCTCACCGATCTGTGAATGGAGCATATGGGTTTGTTTTAAACAGAAAATAAGTGTTGTTTTACACGCTATCAGTTGTGTTCATTCTCCTGAGACTACATCCATCTAATAGCAAACAGAGGGGGTGAAAATTGGAAGCAGCTGAGAGCAGAGGCCAACACTTCCCTCTTCAGTCTTAAATAAGCACCACTCACTCTTCCACAATAAAAATTTTTCTGTTAGGATAAGATAAGAAAACAGCCAGCGGGCAGGAGGGGGCCCATCAGACCAGTGTGAGGGGAGAGGATAGTCCTAATTCTAACACTTCAGTCAGTCAGTATTTGTCTATATATTTGTGATTAATTTTAAAGTTTGTCATAGAAATTGTATTCCAATTAAGATTCTGTGTTAAAAAAAAGAACAAATATTATTAATCGTTCAAACTTAAAAGCTCTCTTGGAAAAAAAAGCTATTTTTGCTGCTAGTTTTTAAATTCAACTTGAAAAATTCAATTATGCATTAATTCTATTCCAACCTCTTCAAAGGTTCAAAACAAAGAAAACTAATGTTTGTCTAAAAACATCTTCCTGTTTTAATATGCTGTCATTTTAGCTGCCTAATGCTTCAGAGTTTCATGTATTTCTTTTTATTTACACAGAATATGTTCAATGGGTCTGGAGTACAGGAAGGGCAGTTTAGCATCCTGTTAAGTGAACACATGGAAATGTTGTCTGGCACTGTCTCACTAAAACAACAACAACAACAACAACAACAACAACAACAAAAATCCTGCTGAATTAGCTGCCACTCTTCCTAAACAGCAGCACGTGGTGTTTCAAAACTTTCACTCATAATTCTGAAACAGTTTAGTCTTCACATGAAAATATTCGATGGCAAACATCCAGAATGTTGGATTCAGTGATTTGTGTGAAGAATTTTTAATCAAACATTCCTGCAGAAACGGTCAGGGTTTGCAGTTTCTGTATGTTTTTATTTACACAGATAACTTTTTTTTTTAAGTTTCATTCATCATATGCAGCAACAAACTGGCCTCAGTGAAACCAGTTTTCAGAATAAGACTGATTCCATCCAGTAATTTTCATTTATTCATGTCTCCTTCATTTAACCCTGAGCTTTCTGAGCCGCTCCAGATCTCAGTGAATCGGCTGATTCACTGACTGTCACACTATAGCTAAAACAGCTTATGCTAAGTTACAAAAATTTTAAAGACATRSACGTTAAAGATTGAATTAAAAAAACTAACTGGAAGTCTCTTTTAGCCATTTGTGCATACTGTAATGCTAAGAAACTGATGAAATATAGTAATTTAGACATCAAAAAAGTTTCATAAACGTTATAGTGTGACAGGGCCTTTAGTGTTTGGATTCACATGTAGATTAACCTGGAAGTACTCGGCCCTCACGGTGAAGTCCTTTAGTTTCCTGCCTCACAGGAGAAACYTCCCGATCAAACGCAGGAAGGAGTGAAACTGAGTCAAACCCATAGCTGTGCTGTAAGAAACCTWAAACCATCTGTTTAAAGTTGTTCTTTCTTGTTTGGCACAAAAGGCTTCGCGGTTTGTGTTCTTTTTGGTCATTTGTTTTTCATTTTAGATTAGATTAGATGAACTTTATTGTGGTGCAGTTATTTTTGCAAACAGTAAGAGCAAAAGTACACCAAGTACAACATCCATACAGCACACAGTACAATCATATACCACCACAGTTTATTTGAGCGTATCTTAAATTATTAATGAGGCCGACACTAAAGGGGATAAATGAACATTTATACCTGTTTGTGTTACGTTTAAWCCCCATGAATCTAAGAGCAGAGGGCTACAGCCTGTAATGGTGAAGACGAGGGTGAGTTGGGTCAGCGAGGACGGCTTTAGTTGGTTCTGTAGAGCTGGGGGAGCTCTGCCAGACTTCATTTTTACACACATCATTCCAGTGCTGCTTAGTCTGTGCTTTTTTTTTTCAGGGGAAGTGACTCAAACCAACAAATAAAAGAAAATGTTAAAACTGACTCGATAAAACACGAGTAAAACATTTTCAGCGGTGGGCACAGTTCCCCTAAAGTTCAAGTTCAAGAATCTTTATTATCCCCGAGGGGCAATTTGTTGTACAGCCAATAGACGTAAAAACAACTAACAAAAAAGAACTAAAGCACTAATAGGGGAACTAATTTCCTGATTAGTGCTTTAGGGTTTTGGCTAATTTTAAAATTTATTAGTGGATTAGCATTTGCTAAATTTATGGGCTAAATTTAGAAGCACTAACTGAGGTCTTTAAATGTTATTGATCAATGTTAATGTTATCAGCTGAGGGTGAAAACTGTCACACATTTTGTTCATATGTGTGTCACTTATCCACCAGGTGACAATAAATGAACTCAAATAAGGCTGTGGAATGTCAATGATAAGTCTTAAGAGAGCAACATGGTAATATGTGACTCATGTTGACCCTGAAGAGTGTTCATGGCTTGACTGGGTTCTTTTAGTGCTTTAGAATTAACTTTTACTAAACATTTCAGTGCATTAGTGCTTTAGAATAAACTTTTACTAAACATTTCAGTGCATTAGTGCTTTAGAATTAGGGGACCTAAATATTTGAGTTGGTGTTTATTTCAGATTTAATCAGCTATACACTTAGTTCTTATCAGTGTTTAAAAGAGCATGTGTTAAAACGAGAAGGGGTTATCTGCGGAATCAAAGTGGGCGTGTCACAAGAGTGGGTGTGTCTAAACCATAAACACTGTGGGCTACGAGGCCTACATGACGGTATCCTTAGATCCTGCTTGATCTCTTTACAGCCTGACCCTGACCCCAACACTAAGGTCAACCAGGAGAAATGTGACCCAAGTAGGGTTCTCCAGAAAAAGTGGTGCCATACAGTAACGCCCCTTTTTTGCTTGTCCAGTCATGTGTGTCCCTTTAACAAAGTCCGTCAAATCAGGTGTTTTGCTTTAGAATCGCCTTTCCTTGTGACATGCCCACTCGTCCGCAGAGACCCCTACTTGGTTAAAACACTGTTTAGTCAAAGTTAAACATGAAACATCAAAGTTCATTACAAGTGGCCCTTCGTGGGCCACCATAACACTCATGTGGCCCTCAATGAAAATGAGTTTGACACCCCCGCTGTTTAAAGTAAATGACTCAGACTGATCACAAGATATAAGATAAAGACTCGGTTAATCAGTCACAAAATATCCAATCAAACAAGACATAAATCTAACAACTAACCAGGCCTCTCATGCAGGTCTATGAAGCTTAGAACTCAGCTTTGAACCTTTTCTTTGTGTTGATCCTGTCCTGAACGACAGAGGATCTCCACCAGCACAACTCGATGTTTAAATGTAAACGAAGCGTCTGAAACAAACCTATAAAGATGAGCATGACTCCCACCAAGATCTGCAGGATGAGCGAGAGGCTGATGAGAACGATGAGGGGCAGGTAGAAGCTGAAGTCCGGGCCCTGCTCCAGCACGGCCTTCAGCTGCGAGGCGTTGGCCATCAGCAGAGCCACGTCCAGCATGCTCTCTGCTGCGCTCTTCTTGTTGGCGTAGTGGTTCATGTTCAGGGGTCCGCGCTGCCCCCGCCAGTTGTCCCGGAGCGGGACCTGAACCCAGACACAGACCCAAACATCAGCACAACAGAAAAACCTGGGAACCGTTTTTTCACTGTGATCAGAAAGAGATTTCAGGTTGAACTGATTTTATTAGGATTAGAATTTATCAAACACTTTTCAGTTCTGGCCTAAAAATAGAAATGTTCTAACATTTTACGTTTGTTGTTACTTTTGTTAAAAAGTCCCTTCTTTTATAGAACAGAACAAGAAGTCCTCTGCTTCTCATCTCAAACTGGAACTTTAAACTGCATCATTGGACAAAAGAAAATCTTTCATGACAAAACATCCTGGGAAATTTCAGAGCTGCGACAGCGCAAGAACATTTTGATAAAACAGACTCAATAAATAACAAACTGATAACTTCACTTGACACAAACATTTTGGTTCTTTCATTTTATGGAGATTAAACAAATTTATTTAAAAAAACATTTCTGCAGTTGTATCAATTTTAGCAAATGTCTTATTGGCTTTTTGTGCAGTTTTAAATATCATATATTTAAATGTAATCATAAAACCTTTCAAGAAAATCTTAAAATAAATAAGAAGTGATGAGGTGTGACTGGAAACATGAATTGTGAAATTTTTAAAAGTTTGCTGTAAGCAGGGGAAAAAAATAACAGAACTAGAAACTTTTCTTCCCTCTTTTTTTATGCAGAATCTGTGACACAAAAGGTCACTGAGTTGAGGTCATAAAGAACATGAAAAGTCACACATTAGCTTCAGATATTTGTCTATAAAAATATTTAAAAAGTAAAATCAGAATCTTTATCTTAAAGATGCCATTGTTTATAAAAAGCTTAAACAGTTGCATCAGTCACAAACAAACATTGTGTGTTTTCATGCTCACTTTCATGACTCAGCTGAAGTCCTTGAGGACCGTCTCAGTGTAAACACAGATTCTCAGGGTTTCATTTGGGTGGAGTGGAGCTCAGCGCTCTGACAAAGTGGACCTTGTTGCAGCATCGCACGTCGAGGCCTAAACTTTCTGCAACTGTAAAAACCTGCCGGACCACCGAGGGAAAAGATGCAGCGGAGGAGAGTGAGGGTCGCCACCTGCCGTCCCATCTCTCCACTCTCATCCATCTTTTGGTGTTTTTTTAACTTTATGTCGGTATGTTATCTGTAACATTACGATTACTGTTCAGATGCACTTGCACTGCCACCAACAAAAGATTCAAACAACTCTTGAGAAACGATGATGTTCCCCATTTAAACCTCTTGTTTGGCTAATATTACACAGCTACTACACACAGTAATAAAACTCKCCCTGCGGACCCTTACCCAAGGTTTCTAATGTATTCTTAAATTTAATGACAACGGGTTYCATTTTTCTGACTTTGGTCAGTTGTTGTCTGGCAGGCATAACATGATTCAACCTGTGTGGTGTTTAGTAGCTAAATCAGATTCTAATCTTATATTTCATGCTAAACTTAAAGCTGTTCAGCTCTTTTACTTCACACCACCTTAAATTAGGGTTGTATGTTGTTATATTGATTTGTTTGAATGACATTATGATGCTTCTCTATCACAAAGTCTGTCACGATARGATTTCGTTTTAATTTAGTTCCCAAGTCTGTGATCGAGTTATGATGTCACACCGGCCATATAATGACGATATGGATCATGTTTTCATTTTGTCTGATGTAACTGAGTCATTAATCATTTAACTGACATATTGAWGTGTATCAATGGATTGTTACACCCCTACTTAAAATATTTTCAAATTTCAGGTAAATTCATACCAATCCTGACCTTCAGCCAGGTCTAAACAGYTCTGTTTATTTTCCATTTAACTACAGGAATGCACTGTGTACTCTGGTATGTAGCTGTACTGTCTCCAGCTTGTACAAATGCTGCAGACAGGCTCTTTAAATCCTTTTCCATCCATCCATCCATTTTCTGTACACGCTTATTCCTTTCAGGGTCGTGTGGGTCACTGGTGCCCATATCCAGCAGTCACAGTGCGAGGGGCGGGGTACACCGTGGACAGGTCACAAGTCCATCACAGGGCCACACATAGAGACAAACAACCATTCACTCTCACCCAGGGACAATTTAGAGTTATCAATTAACCTAACAGTCATGTTTTTGGTCTGTGGGAGGAAGCCGGAGTGGCCGGAGAGAACCCACGCATGCACGGAGAGAACATGCAAACTCTACCCAGAAAGGTCCCCAGGCCAGGATTTGAACCGGCAACCTTCTTGCTGGGAGGCATCAGCTCTACCAACTGATTAAATCATTTTACAAAACATTATTCTCATTCCACTCTTGAGCTTATTAGATTTTTACATTATGTTCAAAACCTAAATCATCCTTTCTTCTAAATACATGTCAAAACATCGGTTTATTTAGCCTCCTGATTATAGATTGTATAGATTTATAACAAGTATCTATCTATCTATCTATCTATCTATCTATCTATCTAT